TTTTTTCACTGTTACTAGTAAATTTGTGATAGTTGGTGATAGCTTATGAGGGATAAAGTTGAGTTGATTCATGTCATATACGTGTATAGTATATGTTTGTAGAAGACATCAGTGAGATGGAATTTTGTTTTTTTAAACATTGTTTTTCGAATCATGTTTCGGGAGACTCCCATATCATAAATACGAATTGAGCATCCCTGCCAATATACGATAGGTTAAATGTGGTTCTATCAAGGTATGGTATAAGGTATAGAGATATATTTCTCTTTTAGGATATACTCGTATTTGAGGAATTTAATTTTATATGAGACAAATCTAGCTTTTTTTAAGATATACGAAATATGAACATCCCAACTCAAATGTGGATCCAGGAATATTCCAAGGTTCTTTGTAAGTGATACTCTATTAATTTCCACTGTCTGATTATTAATGGATAAAAAGACGCCTAGAATAGGATGAAAATGGTAAAAAATGCATTTTAAAGTAATTAATGCTATACTTTTTGTCACTGAATAATCAAAAAATCATTTATGTTTTTCAAATCAGCCCAATCATCACCTGTCTAAAGAACTGAAGTATTATCTGCAAAGCTTAATATTTTGCCCACACAATCAATTTGAAATATATGGTTTAAATACTTATACATAATATTGAAAACCAGTTGATCTTATACCGTTTCTTGTGGATGTGATATAACCTTTTCCCCCTTCCCAGTGCATTTATTCTCAAATATTATGCGTACCGTAAAACGAGGTTACTTTGCACCTTGGAGCGTAACTTTGCGCCAAAGATGGAAAAAGACTTAATACCCATCTAGTGGAGGAACCACGCACGTTTTGTAAATAATTTCAGTATTTTCCGATATGTGGCACCACCTGTTACCACCTGTATGAAATTAAGTATTTTATCCGACATCTTGATCTTCGTTTGGTAACATTTGGTACACGTGTCATAGCATAGCGAAGTGTTCTTCATGAAAAATGGTATTTTTCGTAACGGATGCTGATTTATTGCAAGGTACGACTAGTATATTTACATTGAAACACCATCGATTTTTACCCATTTAGGTTTTTAGGTTACTTTTGGTTTGATAGTGGGGCTACTTTGCACCAGCTCGAAAGTGGTGCAAAGTAGCCCCAGTTCTTTAGTGAAATAGGTTGATCATTTATATTGTATGATTTGCTTTTCTATATGTCTTTTATGTCCATAAAGTAATATTGCTTGGTGTTGTTACAGGATGGTGCGAGTCTACAAGCAAAAGTTAGGATCTCGTCACTATGCAGATTACACTAAAGAAAAACTTGACGAGTCTTTGGAATCTATTAGAAATGAGACCTTTACTCAACAAAAAGCTGCATTATATTTCAAAATACCAAGGAGAACAATAAATTATAAACTTAAGCACATACATACCAAGTTACCGGGTAAACAGCCAGTGTTCTGCAGAGAGGAAGAGGAAACTTTTGTTTCTTATATAGAAGCTATGAGTGACTACGGTTTTCCTCTGACTCATCAAGACCTCATTGCTGTCATTACCTCGTACTTAAGCAAAATTGACAGGTCAGTCAACCAGTTTTCAAATAATGTTCGTGGGAGAGACTGGATCAAATCTTTCTTATTGCGTTATCCCAGGCTTAAAGAACGTTTCGTTTCGAATATTAAACGAAGCAGAGCTGCTGCTGATGAGAAAACTGTACGCGACTACATTACTAACTTGGAAGATGTTGTGAAGGACGTACCTGCTGAAAACATATGGAACTTGGATGAGACCAATCTAACTGACGAGCCCGGAAAGAGGCGAGTCATGTGTCGTCGTGGAACGAAATATCCGGAAAAAGTTTGCAATTTTTCCAAGTCTAGTACTTCACTGATGATGTGTGGCAACGCTGCTGGACAGCTTCTGCCTCCTATTGTTGTAAGCAAAGCTAGTCAACTATGGAATACTTGGGTGGAAGGAGGTCCATAGCATTGTCGCTATCTGAGTACCAAATCTGGTTGGTTCGATGGAGTTGCATTCAACGAGTGGTTCGAAAGTCTTTTGCTGCCAAGATTGAAGAAACTGGCGGGAAAAAAGTGGTCATAGGTGACAATCTGTCAACTCACCTCAATGTAGCTATTTTTAAGAAGTGTAAGGAAGTTGATATTCATTTCATCTGCTTGCCGCCTTACAGTACTCATCTCACGCAACCGTTGGACGTTGCATTTTTTCGCTCGCTGAAAGTGGCGTGGAGAAAAGATTAATTGAGTGGAAAGCAACTCCTGAGGGCATGAACTGTACTGTTTTACCAAAACAGTGCTTTCCGTCTTTACTTAAGCGTGTGCATGATATCCTAGAGCCAAACTTCAAGAAAAATCGGGAAAGTGGATTTAAAAAATGCGGCATTCATCCATGTGATGTACAAACATTACTAGACAGAATAGCCCATAAACAGGTAGAGCCTTCAGCTGTCTGTTCTGCTTTCTTGGATGTCTTACAGTCCACTCGAGATGCATGTAGTATGAAGCCGAAAATTACGAGAAAGAAGAAAATTTCTTTGCCAGCGGGAAAAAGTCTGTCCCATGATAAAATGCTGTTAAACGGGTCAACTGGGGACGACAATCAACCACAGCCTACTGAACACAAACAAAAATCTGACAAGGAAAACATACAACCGGGCTCCAGTGGTACGAGACCAAGAATGATCAAAACCTGAAAGAAAACAGAAAAAAAAACAGATCTCATCATGATTCTGAGGATGATGAGTCAGAAGATGATACAGAGCCTGTTCTGCAGGATACCTCAGATGATGATGACTGGGAGACATATAGAAAAAAACTATGGAAGGGGTAACTGAGTGTGCACAGTATGAAGTTGAGATTCCTTTTTGGGCACAACTGAAACCTATCACAAAGCAGATTGATTCGTTTGTAGTCGTCCAGTATGATAACAAATACTACCCAGGCATCATTGAACAATCGGATGAGGATGGAGCATACGTGAGTGCCATGGTTAAGTCACTCAAGAATTGGAAGTGGCCCGCAAATAAAGATGTGCTCTTCTATACATGGGATCAAATTATTGGCAGCATAAATCCCCCAAAAATGTATGCAAAAGAGGAATTTTCTCAGTGGAAGAGTTAAATACCTAGCAACATAGATATACTGCTGTAATATAGACATTAATTTTTTCTTTCGTTTTTTATTCATCCTGAGTGACATTTTTCTTTTGTCATTTCCAATTCTATGGATATAAAATACAACTTCTTTACCATATTTGTGTTGATATTATTTTTCATCTTTCAGGTGAAACATATATTTTTTCAGCTTCTCATGGTTGTAGAAGGTGCCACAATAATTTTAGATGATGATATCTTTGCACCAACCTATTTTCTCGTATGTAACAGGATTATTTTTCATGTAGTGCAAAATAACCCGCCTGTATGGTATACTTTGCACCACTTTTAAAAATCAGTAAAATATCAAATATAGCTAATAAGAATATTTTATTTGCATATATCTGTGCCCTGAACTGATATGAATGTATTAAAACCATTCTTGAAAATAATTTTACAAAATCCTTGCTTACTAAATAATTATATCAAAAAAACTCCTTAACGTGGTGCAAACTACGATTACGGTACATAAAATTCCATATTATCCTCCATTATGAAACTAGGTATATCAAATTCACGTTATCGCAGAGACATAACTTGTTATCCATTAATCTTTAGTGTAAGTAAAATTTCATATTCTCTTCCATAATATAAAATGCAAAGACTTCAGTCGACTTCTGCAATCACCCTTGGCACGTATCCTCCTACTCGTCCATTAAGCTCCCCTTGGCTTATCGCTGCCTGTACATGGTGGCGGCGTGTGTCTGTTGAGCCATGACAAAAACCGAAATGGCGTCGTCCTCGTCAGCGTCTCCATATACAATATTTTTCCTCGACTGTGGCGTTTTTCACCCCCGCCACCCTCTGTTTCACCCCCTACCCTCAACCATTGGAACCAGGGCGTTTTTGTTCCCCGTACGGCTGATCCACGCGTTGTGTAATTCGGTGCCACCCCAGTCGAGACCTAAGGGGACTTCAACGGGCAGGGGTGGATTCAGTCCTTATTTTGCAATTGCCATTCTCATGACTGTATATAAGAGCTAGCTTTTGCATACATTTCACTTCCTATGCCAAACTGGCGAGGGAGTATTGTCATCGCGAAAAATTACTATGGTTCGGTTCCAAATTGGAAGGCAATAGAGAGCTGTAAGCGATGTTGTCACGCGCTCATCGAAGAAATCCACTGAAATTCTACATATTAAATTTTTGCATGAACATTCAAATGTTGAACAATTTTCTTCTGATCTCCTATTTAACATAAGATATATAAGCAAAATATTTAATCGCAAGTAGTCAAAGTCAAATCCTACGGTAAGAAGATCAGAAGTCAGGCTTTGCGATCCGTATCATTGGATAAGGTAGGCTTTATGATTCGATGCGAATATTTCCATCCCCTGGGAAAACCACAATTTTCAACAGGTCTGTCTTCTGGCTTATACCATGCCTACCCACGCTACGAGGGATTTCTCTCAATCTTGATTGAAAAACATTGGATTTGACAACATGGAGCAGTCCAAGCAATTGAAGGATACGATGTTGCGAAATCGAATTATATTCAGGTATTCCCTTGATGATGCTTCGTGATCGAAAATATATTAGCTGCGGCTACTATGTTTTTGATCAGGTCTGAAGCTCCACCGATATTCGTAAATTGTGATTCCGGAAATCAAATCCATACATTCCCAGAACTGAATTTTTGCGAACCAACTTGCTGGAAATACGTATTTTAAACGTGAATGCTTCAATTCAACCGACAATAATTGAATATATATACACCAGGTAGGTCCAGAAGTAAAGAATGTTTGAATATGGATGTCATATGTGAAAATCTGATTCATGTGTTAGATTTTCTCCAAATTCTGAATTTTCAAATACTCATAAAAATCGGGTAATTACGATGGCAATGACCTATTTAGAGTATCAGGAAGGTGAGATTGACTTTTCAGGATATTATTTACGTCTATCAAAAATTTTGGGGCAGATTCAGCCTCGGTCTGAAAAAGGTAAGAAATCCGATAAAGCAGAAAGTGAGCATAGGCTTGACAACGTCGTAGTTGGCGTCGCGCTATACTCAAAAGATACGCCTCAATTTTATTGCAATTCAGGTTCCAGCTAGTGTAGTCATGTGCGGAGCACATACTGTCTACTATTTCAAATATGAAACCAAATGATACCCTGGAACCATCTATTCTTGTGAAGAAGCTTATATACTTTGGTTTTTCGGAATCTGCAATTAATTTTGTATTAAGTTATTTCACTGACAGGTGTCAGATGGTTGTGATTGGGTCAAGTATCTCGGAGGAGATACCAGTTAAACTAGGGGTACCACAGGGTTCCATTCTGGGACCATTATTGTTCTCAATTTACATTTCTGACTTCCACGAGTACGTTGAACACTGCAGTATTCATCACTATGCTGACGACACTCAATTGTACTTTGGCTTCGATATTAAAGATTTAAAAAATGCCGAACATTTGATTAATAATGATATAATAAATTTATCTAACGTATCTTGTGCCCATAATCTGAAAATTAACCCGTTAAAATCATCCGCAGTTATATTTGGACCAAAAATCAAAAAAAGTCAGGCAAAACCATTACTATCATTGCGCATTTTAGATCAACCGATCCCTATAAAAAATGAGTGCAAGAATTTAGGACTCTGGATTGATTCTGATTTGAGGTTTGAAAAACACGTTAGTCAACTGTGCCGAACATCATTCGGTGTCTTGAAGCAATTATTTCCTCATAGGAAAAGTATGAATACTGGTCTCAAGCTGAAGTTGTGCGAAACCTTAATATGGTCTAGAATTCACTACTGTGACTGTATTTATGGGCCTGCATTAAGATCGATTGAGATAAGGAGACTTCAGACTATTCAAAATGCGTGTCTCAGATTCGCTTGTGGAGTGAGAAAATCTGAGACAGTGTCACATAAATATCGTGAGCTGGGTGTTCAAAAAATAGAAGAGCTACAAAAAATGCATGTATTGACCCTGACCCATAAGGTAATCACAACGCAAGCCCCTCCATATCTATCAACCAAAGAATAAGCATATTTTGGTTATCCCGAGACATTCAACATCTCTATTTAAAAGGTCGTACGTATATACTGCTATCAAGCTATACAACGCGTTGCCTACCGAGTTCACTCACTACTCGATAAAGAATTTCAAAAAAAGATTGAAGAATTTTATCTCTGATTCCATTGCCCAGTAAGTAGACCATGGCTATGAATAAGGACTCGTTACAGGTTTTTTTTTAACTCTTGTTTTCATTGGGATTAGAAAATATACATCAATATTTGTTGGGTTAAGTTGAAAAACGCCTTCCCAAATATATCTCGTCGCATTCTGTTGAGAACCTTGCGCTAAATTAACATTAGATATTCGAAACGAAAGAAGGAACAGTGCATTAGTAGAGAAAGATGACATCGTTATGTGGCGTAGGGAATACTTGAAAACCATGCGTAGTAATCGCGTGATCGGGAGACAACAAATTTACTTCTTGGATGAAACGTGGTTGAATGAAGGGCATAGTACTGTTTTCAAGTTTTGGCAAGATTTAAACATGACATGTCATAGACAAGCCCATCGTGATGGATTGAGTAAAGGTATGAAATGCCCCTCAGGCAAAGGTCGCCGATTGATAGTCACACATATAGGTTGTGCATCTGGCTTTGTGAATGGAGGGTTGAATATATTTGAATCCAGAGAAACTGGTGACTACCACGATGAGATGAATGCCGAAGTTTTTGAATCTTAGTTCAAATCAATATTATCCAAGCTCGAAACAGATTCGGTTATCGTCATGGACAATGCGTCGTACCACAGTAGAAGTATAGAAATCCTTCCTACTTAAATTGGCGAAAAGCTGATATTTATAATTAGCTGGTATCTCAAAACATAACGTGCAGTGATACGATGCTAAAGGCACAACTGCTGCAAATTGCGCGGAGCACAAACCCTGATTCATGGTATATTGACACTTCCACCGTATCATTGCGAGTTGAATCCAATAGAACTGATATGGGCTCAGATCCAAAAAAGAGGTGGCTCGTAAAAATACGACATTCAAAATGTCTGACGTTCGTATTCTCTTGGAAGATGCAATCGGAGAAGTTTTGGGAACTAGATCACCATATAGAAAAGAGCCAGTAATCATCAACCTCACCGGTGTGAAGTTGGCAGACAAAATTTAGCGGACAATTTGCCGAAGATACCCGAATGACCAGTGGCGTCGACATCCTCGATCAGACTGTGATTGTGAAGGATACAGCTAACAGCTCGCAACAATAAATATATATATATATATGCACGAGAATAAGCACCCCTATAGGAAGAATCATTTTCCACCCTAATTAAATAATTGGTAGGAACAAGAGTTAACCCACAACCTTTCTTCGAGTTTTCACTTACCGATTACTGTATTGAAAGTAATTAATGAGCTAAATAGCATATACTGAGAAAATCTCTAAAGGGGTGCTAGATGAAAAAATATAAATAAAACTTCATTTTCACCCCCAAAAAAATGATTCCACAAAATGATTTATATCTCAAAAAAATACTCTATAACAGAGACAATTCATGGGCTAGGTGGCATGGTGTGAGAAAGCTTCTGAAAGGCTGGCAGATAAAAAAATATGCTAAAAAATTCATTTTCACCCCCAAGGAAATGATTCCCCAAAATCAGTTGTACCTCAAAGAAATAGTCTATTATAGAGACAATTTATAGGCTAGGTGGCATGGTGTGAGAAAGCTTCTGAAACGCTTGCAGATAAAAAAATATGCTAAAAAATTCATTTTCACCCCCAAGGAAATGATTCCCCAAAATCAGTTGTACCTCAAAGAAATACTCTATTATAGAGACAATTTATAGGCTAGGTGGCATGGTGTGAGAAAGCTTCTGAAAGGCTGGCAGATAAAAAAATATGCTAAAAAATTCATTTTCACCGCCAAGGAAATGATTCCCCAAAATCAGTTGTACCTCAAAAAAATACCCTATTATAGAGACAATTTATAGGCTAGGTGGCATGGTGTGAGAAAGCTTCTGAAACGCTGGCAGATAAAAAAATATGCTAAAAAATTCATTTTCACCCCCAAGGAAATGAATCCCCAAAATCAGTTGTACCTCAAAGAAATACTCTATTATAGAGACAATTTATAGGCTAGGTGACATGGTGTGAGAAAGCTTCTGAAAGGCTGGCAGATAAAAAAATATGCAAAAAAATTCATTTTCACCCCCAAGGAAATGATTCCCCAAAATCAGTTGTACCTCAAAAAAATACTCTATTACAGAGACTACTCATAGGCTGGATGACATGGTGTGAGAAAGCTTCTGAAAGGCTGGCAGATAAAAAAATATGCTAAAAAATTAATTTTCACCCCCAAGGAAATGAATCCCCAAAATCAGTTGTACCTCAAAGAAATACTCTATTATACAGACAATTTATAGGCTAGGTGACATGGTGTGAGAAAGCTTCTGAAAGGCTGGCAGATAAAAAAATATGCAAAAAAATTCATTTTCACCCCCAAGGAAATGATTCCCCAAAATCAGTTGTACCTCAAAAAAATACTCTATTACAGAGACTACTTATAGGCTGGATGACATGGTGTGAGAAAGCTTCTGAAAGGCTGGCAGATAAAAAAATATGCTAAAAAATTAATTTTCACCCCCAAGGAAATGAATCCCGAAAATCAGTTGTACCTCAAAGAAATACTCTATTATAGAGACAATTTATAGGCTAGGTGGCATGGTGTGAGAAAGCTTCTGAAACGCTGGCAGATAAAAAAATATGCTAAAAAATTCATTTTCACCCCCAAGGAAATGAATCCCCAAAATCAGTTGTACCTCAAAGAAATACTCTATTATAGAGACAATTTATAGGCTAGGTGGCATGGTGTGAGAAAGCTTCTGAAACGCTGGCAGATAAAAAAATATGCTAAAAAATTCATTTTAACCCCCAAGGAAATGAATCCCCAAAATCAGTTGTACCTCAAAGAAATACTCTATTATAGAGACAATTTATAGGCTAGGTGACATGGTGTGAGAAAGCTTCTGAAAGGCTGGCAGATAAAAAAATATGCTAAAAAATTAATTTTCACCCCCAAGGAAATGAATCCCGAAAATCAGTTGTACCTCAAAGAAATACTCTATTATAGAGACAATTTATAGGCTAGGTGGCATGGTGTGAGAAAGCTTCTGAAACGCTGGCAGATAAAAAAATATGCTAAAAAATTCATTTTCACCCCCAAGGAAATGAATCCCCAAAATCAGTTGTACCTCAAAGAAATACTCTATTATAGAGACAATTTATAGGCTAGGTGGCATGGTGTGAGAAAGCTTCTGAAACGCTGGCAGATAAAAAAATATGCTAAAAAATTCATTTTAACCCCCAAGGAAATGAATCCCCAAAATCAGTTGTACCTCAAAGAAATACTCTATTATAGAGACAATTTATAGGCTAGGTGACATGGTGTGAGAAAGCTTCTGAAAGGCTGGCAGATAAAAAAATATGCTAAAAAATTCATTTTCACCCCCAAGGAAATGAATCCCCAAAATCAGTTGTACCTCAAAGAAATACTCTATTATAGAGACAATTTATAGGCTAGGTGGCATGGTGTGAGAAAGCTTCTGAAACGCTGGAAGATAAAAAAATATGCTAAAAAATTCATTTTCACCCCCAAGGAAATGAATCCCCAAAATCAGTTGTACCTCAAAGAAATACTCTATTATAGAGACAATTTATAGGCTAGGTGACATGGTGTGAGAAAGCTTCTGAAAGGCTGGCAGATAAAAAAATATGCTAAAAAATTCATTTTCACCCCCAAGGAAATGATTCCCCAAAATCAGTTGTACCTCAAAAGAATACCCTATTATAGAGACAATTTATAGGCTAGGTGACATGGTGTGAGAAAGCTTCTGAAAGGCTGGCAGATAAAAAAATATGCAAAAAAATTCATTTTCACCCCCAAGGAAATGATTCCCCAAAAT